GCGGAGTCACAGGGCCATCAGAAGGGGCTACCTCCTTGTGGGCCCCGCCCTTCTTCCGGGTCCTGGGTTGGACCTCACCTGCCAGGGCAGGGTGAACCGGCCCGGTACCATTCAAGTTCTTCACCGGGAGCGCGGGGACCCTGAGGGGGGAAGAGAAGAGGCTGCAGAAGGATTCCGGCCCCACACCAGAGGATCAGAGGACCCTGGTTTGCCTTCTGGCTATGGCTTCTGGGCATAATCTGACCCCTTTGTGCCTGTCCCCATCATCTAGAATGATCCCCAAGCAACTCGATTCCTATTCTGACATCCTTCTATTATAAGGTAGGGTGTGACCAGGACCTCACCCCGATTATAATGGAATGGACTCCTAGTCTTAGCACCGACTCTTCCCCATTACACAGCCGGCCTGCTCCCTAGTGAGAGCACTTGGGTTCCAAAGGCTCTCTTTCATTGGCCACTGTGCTTGAAACCCAACTATTAGGGATTCAGCCATTTCAGCCTCTCTCGAAATTTGCTCTATGGAGCACTAATCCCCATAAAAGTTTTGCAAAGGAGGGATTCCGGGGTCAAATAAGTTAGGAAACACTTCAATGTCTCCCCCTTGTAAAAATCACATCTATGAGCATATTGAGGGCTCTAAGTCCTGCATAAAGAAATACGATTAGCAATGGTAAACCCAGGTTTCCCAAAGACATCTGATGATGAACACTTTTCCCCCCTCTGCAATCTACTGATGTCAATTCCTGTAACTAAGGCATTGTCGGCTCTTCAAGTGAAGAGGCCCTAGGAAAATGGAGTCTGCTTCCCCTCTCCGCCCTCCCCTCAAAGAGCTCTGTCTTTTGGAATCAGCTAGAGCTGCTTTCATATCTCAGCTCAACCACTAATCAACCAGCCGGGTGACACCCAGCACATCACCACACTTCTCATAAGCCTCCCATATTTGCTGTGAAGAGTCAATGAAATTCTACACATCAAGGGCCAAGCACCATTCCCGTTCATTAATAAGGACCCTAACACATTAACCATCATTGTCACCATCATCACCGTTGTTGTGTAATCTTGGATGAGCGGTTTCACCTCTCTGCACACCTCAGCCCACTAAGCCATGGTGTGTTTCCACCTTGGAGAGAAAACCATGAAAGTATTGCAGTGACAAACTGGGGCAAGTCATTTAACCTCTGTAACCCTCAGTTTCCTTCTAAAATGAGGATAGCAACACCTCACCTATCTATAAGGTTGTTGAATGAGAAAGCCTGCTGTGGTCTGTACGGTGTGCCTGCCTGAGTTTTCATGACTTTAGTGCATGGCTGTTGATGGGCATGGAACTCTGGACGGATAAGTTTTGATGAAGGTGGGTGTTCTGAAAGCCAGGGGGCAGCCTGAAGGGCCAGGAGGGGTGCGGTGACAGCTGAGGAAGGAGCTGCTGCAGCCCCCTTTGCCTGCCTGCTAAGGACTGAGCCTGGCCAATGCTGACTGGTCACCTGCCCCTGGCAGGCACAGTCGGCACCAGGGAGCTGGCTGGGAAGCATCTGCAAGCAAATGGTATGCTTGGCAGGCTTGGGTGCTGCTGCAATGGGTCCAGAAACACACACACACACACACACACACACCCTTGGGGAATGTGTACTATATATATATATATACATGCACACGTATACTTGGGGAACACACCACACGCACAAGTACACAGATACAGATACACACACATATATGGAGAACACTGCACAAACAGGTACACACCCCTGGGAACATGCCCCCCACACACGTACACACACAGGCGCGTGCACACACACACACTCCAGGGACCACATGACAGATACATGCACACACAGGCACACACACCCCCCAGGGAGCTCCCTTTCCATACAAATACAGACACGGACACACATATACTTGGGGAATGTATATGCCACACACATTTGCACGCACACCAGGGAACCAATACTATGCATACATACAAACAAAATACACACAAACACATCTCAGGGAACATACCCCATGAATATACATAGATTCAGACACACACACACACACACACACACACACACACTCCCTATCTAGCAATGCACACAACCCCTCTGCCCTGTGGCTGTTTGGCCACACAGGCTTAATCCGGGGTCGGCAGGTCACTCCTCCCAGGCACCTCTGAGAGCAGTGTCAGGAGCAGATGGCAGGGTCCCTAACACTGGTGACCTGGAGTCACAGAACACAGCCCCTGAGGGAGGTGCAGTGGGAGGCCTGGCCGGTTGAGGTGTAGGAGGGTAAAGATGCTTTGCCTCGGTTTCCTCATCTGTAATAGGGATAGTCTTGTGAAGGTTCAGTGAGTTAAAACATGTAAAGCTCAGTTTGGTACAGGGGCGAGCGTGGAGGCCTTCCGGCTGCCTGCTGGGACCCAAGAGATGGGGCTGAGTGCCCATCTGAGCCATCTCGGGGTCTGTCAGAATCCTCCAGGACCTTCCTGGGGGTATCATTACCCTAATCTCATCCCTTCCCATACTCTTATAGGAAAGCAGAGAGGCATGTACCTCAAGCTTCTCCTCTTCCTTGCCCTGT